CTGAGTCTGGGTATGATATTCTCTTTCCTCCTAGTTGTAGAATTTCCACTCAGCCAGCCTCCCTGTGGTTCTGGATGATGTCCGTTCTGTCTTTTAGGTGTAATTTGAATTGGCTGTTCACTCAGCCAGCCTCCCTGTGGTTCTGGATGATGTCCGTTCTGTCTTTTAGGTGTAATTTGAATTGGCTGTTCAAGGCAGCAATCTCTGGAGTTAACATATGCCGCCATCTTGGTTTCTCCTAAAGCATCAGCTTTCTTTTTCACCCGTCTAAACCACATACCTCCATATTCTTAATGTAATTATAATGTAATTTTGGTTATATCAATTACTAGTGCTTTAATAATATACTATTTCATTTCCCCTGCAATTATTGTTTTCGAATTTGCTTACTTTTCTAAGTTCTTATCATTAATTTAACTCTAAACTCTCCATCAGTGTCTAATCATCTCTTACTGAGCCCATTCACTTTAGGCATTAGGTCAATTTCATGTCCTATATGAATTCCCCAACCCTGATGCCAGCAGCCTTCTGATTTGTTCCAATCTGGACTGGTTGCTCTTTGAACACAGACCATTTGGGGTTCTCATGTCACCACACTACCAGGAATTTCTGTTTTCTGTTGGATCTCTTGTATCCAGATTCCTATGTTGTCTTCTTTCGTAACTTAAATACCTTGTAACGGAACACATCTTACAGCAGTTTCCAGAGGAAAGTTATAAAGTACATAAATTTTCTGAGATGTTCATGTTTGATAATATCTTTATTATAACTCCATTTTCTTCTGGCTGCCAGAGTTGTTTTGAGATAATTGATGGGTACAGATTCAGTTTTTTGTATACAATGCCTGTAAGATGTTCTCTTTTCTCCATTATCCTAAAACTTCTCATTGATATGCTATGGTCTGGGCCTATTTTCATCTATTAGGCAAGGCATTTGACAGACTCTCCTAATCTAGAAAATTATTTACTTTCGTTTTATGAGAGTATAATAGTATCCCATACTCGTACTACCAGGAATGTGATATGAACTTGATACTTAGTTGTGTCAATAAAAATAATACTCCATGATTTGTTAACTCATGGGCTCCAGTAAGACCACTGAAAAGAGAAAAAGTATTCTGAGGCATACATGCTCTACTTTGGTGGTGATGTATAACCTAGCTATTACATGGGCACAAGACTCATGATATAAACTCTAAAAATCTTAGAAAATAAAGGGAAAAAAATGGGGTAAGAGCAGCAACAGCTGGGAACAGAGTATGAACCTGGGCTGAACTAAATTGGTGCATATCCATTTTTTACTATAGACCAGGGAAATTTAGGTGGTCTATATAACTTCCCAAACAACTTCTGGTACCTTAACACAGGCAAGTCATTTTAAATGTTCTTTGTTTCCATTACAGATTTTACGGTATGAGGGATTATAACACAATTTGTTTTATTTCTATAAACTATACTGAACACAAACTCTCACATTACATTTTAATAATGGAAAATAATAACTTGTGAAAAGTAAATAAATGCTTTTTCATTCTTAGTCTTACTTAATAATGGAAATAATGAGACAGTATAAAAAAAAAAAAACAGAGGGGAGAAGAAAGATTTGCAAATACCAGCAGATTACCCAGTGAAAAAGAATGACTTTTAAAATTAACTGTGATAATCTCTATTCTCTTAACTTTTTAAAGCAAAAGTAAAGTACTGAAATCAAGGTTTTAGTAAGTAGTGTGTTAGGACATAAACTTTCAGTTAGAAAATCCAAGTTTAGAGTTCTGGAGCTTCTGTTTATCTATAACTAGAGGCCAGAGGCACGGTGCACAAAAATTTTTGCACTCGGGGGGATAGGGGGGTCCCTCAGCCTGGCCTGTGCCCTCTCGAAGTCTGGGACCCCTCGGGAGATAACGACCTGCTGGCTTAGGCCTGCTCCCGGGTGGCAGAGGGCAGGCCCAATCCCTAGGTGCACCGCCCCCTGTCATGCACAGAGCAGGGCGGATTGGGAGGTTGTGATGCCACCCCCAGTCACACTCAGGGTAGGGCCAATTGGGGGGTTGGGGCACCGCCCCCGTCACACTCAAGGCAAGGTCCACGGGGAGGTTGCGGTGCCACCCTCTGTCACTCACAGAGCAGGGCCCATCAGGGGGTTGGGGCTCCACCCTGTCATGCACAGAGCAGGGTCGATCAGGGGGTTGGGGAGCTCCCTCCTGTCACAGAGTAGGGCCAAT